GAATCATTCCAGTAGAAATGAGCAGCGTCAGAGACAGGTAGACTGTGAGTTTTTCCACCTAAAAATGATATTTTGCTCCTCTAAGATCTGTCAGAGATCTTGTTTGTGCTGAGTTGTTTGGATGCTGGGACTCCTCTCTGAGTGTAGGTCTCTTCTCTCCCCCCCCCACCCCTCGCCCCAGGAAACTTGTGAAAAGGAGGAGGTCAGAATTCCAGAATACATCGTCTGGATGGCTGTCCACAGCAGTTCCTGTCTGCCCTTCTCAGGGTGATGTAATCAGCATTCAGTAATAACATTTCTGAAAGGTGGATAACAGCATTTTAGTTCAGCTCTAATAATTCTGTTAAACCAGAGCTGGTGTTGTAATTGCTGTTTGTAACTGGGTTTGTTCCATATGTGTGTTACGTAGGATGCAATTGTAATGAAATGTTCCCTCTTTGAACTGTATGCCCTAAAGAATATGTCTTTGTTGTGTAGCAAGCAAAGCACTCATGCACTCTCTGCCTCTCCTGTATCCTGTAATGAAATAAGAGAGAGAGGAAAAAAAAAAGTCATGTTTCTCCTTGCTTGAATTTATTTTGGAAATTTTAAGTGGCAAAAGTGTTAATTTTCCTTTGCTTTGGTAGCACACAGCCTTTCTGAACTCCTATTTATTTTTTTTAATGAAAAAACACCTGAGCCTGCATGAGTCTAAGGATATGCATGCTTTACAGCACACAGATATGGGTGTAAGCAAGAACAGAGAGTGAGACAGCAGGAGGAAGCCATCAGAGAGTAAGAAATAGTGGAGAGACTAAGAGAGTAAAACGTTTTAAATTTTATATTAACTGTAAGAAATAGGGCTTAAAAATGCAAAATCTCCAGAGAAATTGTATATTAAAAGATAGCATGTTCTGTGCCATGAGATCAGGTAGGTGGGTGGTTGCTTTGCTTTGGAAGTAGAATGTGCTGTAAGACTCAATCGTAATAAAATCTGGCTGTTGTACAGCACTCTTCATTCAAACACCACAGAGTGCTTTGGAGGCAGAGTAACCTCATTTACAAACAGAGAAGTAGAGGCATGTAGAGAGGACTTAGCCACTCCACTAGCTTGCTGGGATGCCAGTCAGATGATGACACTGGTTATGACCTTAGATGGTTACCAGCAATCCCTCTCTGTGTAGGAGATAACCCTCTCTGTGTAGGACATCTGGATATGAAAAGCTGGCAGACGGCAGCTAATTTCACCCAAAGTAGGAGATGTAAAAGAGGAAAAGAGCATGCTGGGAGCCTGAGGATGTGAACGTGCTGAGCTGTGTTACAGTGTCTTGGTCGTGACACTGATCTGTTGCTAGTCTTGTTTTATCGGACTTCTCTCAAGGCCTCAGGTGCTGCCTCTAGGTCCTGAGTTTCAGTTCCCCAACCACCCATGAAACATTTTATATGTGCTTCCGGGGAAATACAACACAAAAAGGCAGTTTTTCTCTGATGTGATCTCACGTGGGGGAGGAGTGTGAGCGATATCAATAATGCCTGTAGACAGCAGGTATAAGGTAGCAGTTAAACTCTCCTCATGCTGTTTATGCAGTCAATCTGCCTGAGGGATGTCCACATTTCTAGCTGCCTAGGGTTCCACAACAGCTTCGTGCTTCCACTTTGTGCCCCATAGTGCAGCTCTGTAATGGGGTATGTACCACCCTGGGACTGCTATAGTCTCCAGAACCGGGAAACACTCGGGGTGATCTTGAAGGGTTTCAGATAAAGGTCCTTTATGTCTGCAATGGCAGGGTTTATTTGGTTGGGTGTCAGCTGGAAATAAAAAGCTAAGGTATCTCAGAAAGAATGTCACTTTCAATAGAAAATTAGTCCATTTACACTGTTGTTTTTTAAGGAATTAGGACATTTTTAGCTCTCACACCACAGGACAGTGGGGAACACTAAATTAAACGTCTAGATTAAGTTCCATGGGCTGATTTGTAGCCCATGGGGCTGGCATCTCCCTAAGCAATTCATCTCAGCTGAACTCATGGCGAAACCCCCTTTTGGTGGGGCGAGTCCCTCTCCATCAACTGTGGAAGGAATCCAAACAGCTAGATTAGGGCACACACAACTAAAGGCAGGTAGGAGGAAAACGGCCCTAACTGAGAACGAAACAGGCACGTTCTCTGGTTTTGCATAGCCCTGTCTGCACCTCCCACACCTATGCATTCTGGTCTCCTTACACTTGAGCTCCTTGAACTCTAGGATGGCTGCTGGACACGTGCATGGAGTGTAAGGAACAGGGAGAGCATTCAGTTTCAGTGAGAAACCTTTCAGTCAAGAAGAAAGTATTAAAAAAGTCTGTGTGAATAACAGCACCTGTGCTTAGCCCACCAGCTCCTTTCTCGGCTCGTCTAAAAGTGAACGCAGGGTATTAGAATTTTTACATTGGGAAGCCAGAAGAATTGATTACAAGTGAGCAGGAATAAAGAACCGTGTAAAACAAACATAGCATCCCAGAATGTATCTGTCAAAAGGAAAAAAATCTTTCTACTTGAACTTAGAAATGCAGGTTTCTCATGGGAAAATGTGATTCCTGTTCAAATGCTAATGGATTGTTATCACAAGAATCTCTTAATTTGACTATTCTGAACTATGATAAGGGGCAGAGCAAGGTTCAGAGAGCAAATGACTGATGAACAATCTTCAATCCGCTTGTAAATCTTTGCTTTTTATATACTCCTCCTTGTTGATCTCTGACTTAAACCGATCCTCCAAAGGGATATATGAAAGATAGCTCTGATTTCAGCTAGAAGTAATAGCACATATTTGTGTGTCTCTTTTATCCTTGTTTAAAAGGCAAAGTTATGGCACTGATAGAATGTCAGCCACCAGAGTACCTGGCCCTGATAGCATAGAAATTGATGGTATATGAGCAAAGGTTGGCTTATGGGAAAGAAAAAAAAGGCAGCACATTTTAGAAAAGTGATACAGAAAAAGGGAGTGAATTGGTCCTTGCATGCACAAACTGTCGCTGCAGGCCTCTCAGGATAGAAGGAAACATCACCTGAAGCAAGAAAATGCAGGGACTTAGAGACAAAGGTCTGCCACCCTTTCCCAGGAGCACATAGGCCAGGGAGTGCAAGAGCTACCTAGAAAGAAGAGAGCAAGAAACCATGTTCTCTCCTGTGGAAGCAGAAAATCCTTCTTCTTTTGATCTGGAAGCACTCTCCTCAGCCATTTTTTGAGCAGACGATTCCACATTTGAAGGCGTTTGCTACCACCTTCCATTGCTATAAATGTAAGAAGAAAACTATCTTGCTGTTAAAGCTACGAAACTTGTATGAGTAAGTTATGTGTGTTTTGAGAAGTTTCTGGGGAACCCTTCACTGACCTTGACCAGCAAAAATGTGTGAGGGAAGGGAATAGGATCTTTTTTAATATTATATAGGAATAAACATTTTTCAGAAGCCTTGGCATCTCCTTTCTTCCATATATGAGCCCCCTCCAGGGATTTTCAAGCATGCTTACTTAATGGCAAGTTCTGTGCTAGGCCTTCCTGGTCAGTCAGTTGCTGGCATCCTACCCTGATGGGAAGTGGGATTTGTGGCCTGTCTAGCTCCGTTGCAGGGCAGAATGGTGTATTTTGCAACAGCATAGACCTTGGGAGGGTGCTCATCTTCAGTCCACTCATATGCACAGTGGACTCTGATGGCAGGAGTAATGCCCTGCAAAATCACAAAGAGCTCCCAGGGCACAGGGAGGGGAATCACTGGAAAAAATAGAAAGAGAAAAACTTTGCAAACTGATGAGGTTTAATAGTCTCTGAGCATATCATTTTTCACATTGTTCCCAGACACCCTAACAGTGTATGAGAACAAAATGCATTTGGCCTCAGTGTTTGAAAAATAGTAAAAGGCTGTAGTTTCTGTCAGAGGCAAAGTGAGACAGCCAAACATGGTCCCAGGCTGCATTTCCACCTGGATTCATGAGGCCCACTTGGCCCTCCCAGTAGATGCCTAATTCAGCTCTCTTGCTCCTATACCCTGCCACGCAGTACAACAGTGATGCGTCACTGACTTGTGCAGAAAGGCACTGAGAAGATGGAGACAAAATAAGGAAGAAACTGCATTCCCAGCCCCTTCGGGGGTTGGGGGGTGGGGGGAAATCTTTGCCCCTTTCTAAAATAAAAGGAATAGAAAAAATTAACAGCATGAAAAAGGGAGGAGATGATAAAGAGCATCTGAAAAATTATCTATGTCCTCATTTCAGAGCTTTGCATGGTAGCAGGGCGGCAAAAGGAAGGCCTCTTTCTTTTTTAAAAAGCTGGGTGTTTCCTGATCAGTTGATACTAACTGCTCAGCAGTTGTCATGAACTGAGAAAGTTCTTAGGATGTGTTCTGCAGAATGCTGTCACGCTTAAGAAATTGTCTGGGGATGCCATCCAAGGACCGGAGCAAATCAAAGCTAAAGGACAAAGTCTGGTATTATACTGTTAATAGGGCTTGGATCCAGTCTGGAGAAGAGAGAGATTTACACTTTTGCTTTTCTGCTGAGATGAAAACTCCAGCAATGGGAGTGCTGGAGCTTTAGTTACGCATATGCTATTGGTGGCACAGCTGGAATCAGAAAGAATTAAAGCTACATCTCTTTTGATTTACAACTTAGTTCTTTAATCTTGAAGGTGATACCAGTTCCTTAGGAAGGCTGCTCTTAGCAAAAGTGAATCTGAAGCAGAGATGGTCAAATTCCCTCAAGTTTGGTATATTTGGTTTGGTGCATTAGTGGTTCCCCTATCAGAATTTTTTCATGCCTTGGCAGTATCAAACTATGCAATTATTATCCTTCGTAAGTCTCTGCCTGTGTAGCAATTAGGCTTTTCTGCTGCTGTAGCTGTTATGCTATATTATTCTCTGTGCTTGCCTTTAATAATATAACCACGTGCTGGGGCCTTTAGTACTCAAAACACGGGGGACACAGAGGGGCTGCGCAGGATATGGGTACACCGAATAAAGGCTTCTTTGTTTTCTCTTTCTTGGCAGGTCACTACGGAAAGGATATTTATCGAAGTGGAGGACCAGATCTCCATAATTTCATCTCCTCCGGGTTTGTCACATTAGGAAGAGGACACACGAAGGGTACAGTGGAAACAATTTTTTGCTAAATAAAAAGATTGTTTTAAATAAAAGGCTATAACTCAGAAGCTGGGTTCTAAGTCCTATGAGCTAACAGTATTGGACTGCAGTTAGTAGATTTAGCCTAACAAATATTGCTGCAGGTACAATGCTACTGGCAGAGCCTTTTAAATCCTAGCAAGGGATGCAGTGATGGAGTGTAGAGTTGGGAAGCCAGGTTCCAGACTCCACTCTGACTTTGCAGTTCAACAGTTTATACTGCTTTGTGTTTTTCTGGGTGCATGGATGCAAACTACCATTGTGCTGCTGTACTTACAAAGGGAAGGGGAAGAAGGAGTGTAATGCTGTCCAAGAGTAGGCAGTTACATATAAAGAGTGGGGTTTTGGATTTATTTTGTTTGATTTCTGGGCTTTTGGGGGGGTTATTATGAATATTTTATAAAATCCTTTCTTTTTAGGTCCAAAAAACATATATTTTATGTGTTCATATAATCTGTGATATAATGTACAAACATGATAACACAAAAATATACATATACTGCTCTGTGTATGTTCTGTGTATATGTACTGTATATATAATATATGTTGAGAGACAGATGTGGCTATATTAGATAAGTAACCATATATCCCAGGAGTTGTGGTGACATAAAAGCTACCAGATCTAACTCAAAGTAGCTGGTCACCAGAACCCCAGATGAATGTTCGTTTTATGACATTGTTGCATATTTGGTGAGTTTTTGTAGTGTACAGTGAGAATATGTTTGGAACAGCTTTCTGTTCACATCCACACTCTGACTGAGTCACACTGGTGCACTAGCAGTGGGTTGCATCACTGGGAGTGCAAGCATGTGCTATGCCAGTACTCATCTGGTTTTGTTCCCTGCTGACTTATAAGACTGTTGTACATTTATATACACACAATGTATGTGGAGATACATATATAGACACAATGTACTGTATGTGGAGATGTGTCCATGTGCTCGCCTGGTTGAATGCACCTGTGTTGTTTCTGTGGATGACCATGACTCACAAGTTATTAAAAGACCTTTATTTTTTCGTATATTTTCTGCACTTTTTCAAATTCTCCACAAGTGTCATCCAAAGCAGTGTCGGTCCTGTAGAACTGTCAGAGAAGAAACAAATATATGTATATTGTCTGTGTATGTCTGTGTGTGCTTAAATAAAGTTTACTGAGGCTGAGGCAGCACCCGTGGGACTTGTAATACAATACCCGGCAATTCCAACCTGGCACTGCAATGGTGGAAGGAAAACAGAGGAAGCCACCAGGAACCTTCAGGTGGGCTGGGAACTAAAATGGTTCAAGGAAGGACTTGTGGATGGTGTTTCACATAAGGTGTCCTTCCCTCCCCCCCCACCCCCGCCTCAAAACTAAAAAGGGGATTTTACCGTCATGCCATATCACATTAGGCCCAACAGTGTGTTAAGGATGAGATAGCTTGTTTACCCCAGCTGAGACATGGTCTAGAGAGGTGTGTCCTGATAACTTTCAAAGAGCACATGGGTAACTCTGAGTAGGGCTTTACAATCTGCTTCTGTCTCAGACATTTTAGTTGTTCTTCGATTGGTTTACTGTGTGATACACTTCTACGAGTTCCTTCTCTGATAAAAATAATTCTGTTTTTCTTCTTTAACTTTTCCTCTTTAACAGGGGCTATGTTCTTCCACAGATGGGCTAGTGGGCCACATCTCTCCCACTGGCTTTGTTGGGAATCCCACACAGCACATTCCCCATCGTTAAGAAGATGGGAGAATGGAAAGCAGAAGTCCAGACTGCTTAAATACCACCTCTCATGACAGTCACCAGATAGGGTGGTGCTTTCCAGAGTGAATAAAAGGCTTTTATTATTGGAAGAAATTCAAGTATCTTGGCTGTTTATGAAGCTAAAGTAATGGATTCATCTTTGAATTTACTTTTAAACTACCTATAAATTCACATCTTCTTTAAACAGTACCACAATGTCATTAACTTTTAAATTCCTAACATCAGACTCACAAATCCCACATGACTGATACAACTGATTAATGTGTGCATACATTGTACAGGCAAACTGCCATATTTGCTTGTGTAAATGTGTAGATTTGTGTTTGTCTGTGATATAACAGGATTGCCTATTTGTGCTGTGTATGTAAGGGCTTTGGATATACAAGTGACTTAGGAGCTCTGACAGTAGGTTTCTACCCTATATGCTTTTATTATTCCTGTAAATACCACCAGGCAGATTTCCTGTCTTCTGTTTGAACTGGCAGCACAACTGTACTTAACGGACAGCAGAGATGAATGCCTCGAGCAAGAGGTATGATTCTGATTTGTAGCTGAGAAGCTTCATGCTTAGATTTCATCCCAGTTGGGATCCAGTGCATGAGACAAAGTCTCCACCTCAACTACCATCAGTCCAAAGGCTTTGTCCAGCCTTGTTTGTTATACTGCCTTGAAAGAGAGTTCTGCTTTTAGACTGAACAAAGCTGATGAAGTTTATCTCAATATTTCTTTGCACTGGGAGACACATTTTTGGTGTTTTCTCAACTATATTTTGTGCTGTGGCAGGACTCCAAGTGCTGAGTAACGTTTGAGAACTAATCTATTTTGAGAAGAAGACAAAGATGTGAGACATGCCAAACTACCATGGATACCAAATCAGCATATTCACATGTCTGACATCCACAAGCTCCTGCAAGATTGTGATTTATGTTTCTTATATGACACTCCACTGGGCAATGCATCACTGCCTAGCATTTAAGTCTATAAAATCACTATGTAGTATGTTCTGCAAACCATGGTAAAGGACTTCACTGTCAGTCTGTCACAATGGACTAGGAATGAATCCAAAGTCTTTAGGCCATAGAAAGTCTCCATGGTGAGAGCCTCATTTAACTTTAGCTAGCTAGAAGTTAGACATTTAATTCTGAGATAGTAATTTTCAAATCCACGTATAGTCACTGGGGAAAAACTGGCACCTCTAAATGAATTTTCATTGGATGGGTCTTAGCACCTCTACCATCGCTCTAGCAAGAGAATGAGCCATGGGGAGCTAGGTCATTTAAACATCAGAGGGAGGCAGGTGAATCCCACCTGTAGCTGCTAGCATAGGAGTATATACTATTACTCTAATTGCTATGGGAGTTGCTACTGGACTTTAGTGCTGTGGTGCACTTACTTAAACAAAGAAGAGCACTGAAGACAGGAACAATTGCATACCTATGTGGACTAACATAATAATAATAATAATAATAATAATAATAATAATAATAATAATAATAAAAACATTCCGCTTCTTGAATCTATTCTTTTTCTGAGCATCTTGCTAGTCTCAGTTGTCCCAGGTTAAGGCTACCCTAACATAGACTCTACTCACTGTCCTGCCAGGGCACTGCAGGGCTTTGTTCAGTCACATGGGCTGGTGTAGAGACTACCCAGCTACAACACAACATGGGGCAAACAGCTGCATGGATATCCAGCCACAGTGAATGAACAAGTCTGGAAGAGCAGTAAATTCACTCCAGATCAAGCACTCCAGATCAAGATTGTTGAATTTTCAGGTAAAAAATATGTTTTCGTGTGTATGTACATTTTTTTTTCCTACCAATCTGAGAGAGTGAAAATAGGATCAGAATCAAACTGGGATCCTTATATTTCACCAGTCTGTGCCAGTAGTAGAAATTTTGTAGATCAGATGATGAGCTAGTTTCATACCTAAACAAATTCTTTGTTCTCTTGGTAACTCTGTAGCGATATTAAATATAGTAAGGCTTTTGCAGAAAAAGTATCATTTCCCAAGTGAACTGAACACTAGAGGTCAGGGAGCAGGGAGGCAGAAGGAATATGAGATTTTAGACTCCGCTGCTTCAGGATCATCCCATACAGGAAAACAAGACTTTTCCTAGAAGCTGCTAGTTTCTTGTGAATTTATGCCAGATCCTTGAGGAAGTGCAGCTAGGGGCTGCAACTTGAAAAACAGGGTGAAAAACTCCAGAAGAGCCAAGTGTCCTCACAGCTTGTCCAATGCCACTTTCAGAAATTTGACATCTCACTCTTGGTTTAGGGTTACAAATCTTACCTGTGCCTGGCTTCACTGGGAGAGGTGCTCTGATTTAGGGCATCTGCAAATCATTCAGTTTAGAAAGTCTGATTTAATCTGCAGGATTCTCTTTTCTTCAAGTGTCCTACTGACATTTGCACCAAAAGATGTTCCCCAACAGTGCTAGTAGGCAGGAATACAATTTGAATCATGTAGCTAAGTCAGTGCAATGCAATTGTTAAAGCCTAACTATACTGCAGCTGGCATCATTATAGAGCTGCACCAGCATCCTACAGTGTGGGCAATGTGGGATATATCTCTCCACAGGCCTACTAGCACCACGTGCTGCCAGTCTATGGCCAGACCTCTGAATTAGTTGGGTCATGCACTTCAGCCTTGTGGAGATTCAGACCATTCAGGGGAATGCACCGTGTTGCTACAGTAATCCGGACAGCCAGCAGCAGGAGATGAAGGGCTTGATGTAAATAGGGTCGTCATAGTCAAGTTTATTATGAGACAAGATTCAAAAATACAGCAAGCATGCTTTCTCTGTCAGTTTAACATTTATGTTTGTTATAATGGAGCCTCCTACAAAGGCAAACACAAAAGAGGACAATGCAACTCTAGATCATACTTAGCAACCAAGATCTTCCTAAGCTGCTTCAATGTCTCAGCCAGCTGAGGTGGGTGGCAGCTCCACTTTCTCTTCTTTTTCTCTCCTTGGACCTCCAGAGCTTTCCCAATATTATGTCTCTGCTGTTCCCACTGTAGAAGGTGATACCCTCCCTCTGTGTGGGGAAAGAAAGCACACAGTAAATGACTCTATTTTGCCAAGTCTGTGTTTGCTCAGGCCAGGATTGCCAACTTTGTGCTTGTGTGACCATTAGAAAAGCTTGTTGACAATGACTGGGCTGTTAGACATCCCATGTCAACATGATGAACAATCATTTCCCTCCCAAGATGTCT